ATGAGCGTACAAGACTGTCTGTTTTTGCTTCGTTTTCTTTGCAGGAGAAAGAAATGCAATTGGATGTCGAAGTACCGGGGGTCCTTGGTTGCTTGCGGCTGCAAGAAGCATGACGCTCCGTAGGCGGAAGCCTATACCGTTCTGGGAACCTGACCTGACCTGTCTGCATTCTGTGCAAAAGAAGAAGGGTCCTCCGCTGCCCCCCCCCCCAATGACAAGTATATCCTGGCCTGTCGAACTCCAGCAAAAAAGGCAGATACCGAAACTACACCTCTTAATGGAATGCCTGCACTCAACCCGCGTTTCTCCTGCTCAAACCGAGACAATCATCGCTACTGTCTCCTTGACAACCTCTTGCTTCTCGTCATCTGCTTCTGGTCCGGTTACCCCCACTGGTAAGCGAGGCCGAGCACAATGTTCCTCAATTTCTGCGACGCCGACGGCTGTTGACCACAGTGAAGCCCCAAATACCAGGACTTACGCATCCGTAGCGAAGGAATTTGCGCCACTGCCCTCGCCAGTACGTGACTGAAAGTCAGGGAAAACAGATGTCAAGGTGAAACCTAAATCATTATCTTCACAGTCGCAGTTAAAGCTGGTTCCGGATAGAGTCGGTCAGCTGGAAAAACTGCTTAAGGATAATCCGCCTCTCCACAAGCCGCAACCCCTCGATAACACCAAATCACCCTCTCGTGGACGTTGTCTAATCATCATAAATGCTCTTGACTCGTCCAAAACCACTCCAGCTGAAAGGATTATGGATGATCAAGAGTTTCTAAAACAGATGATCTTACTGCTCGACGGTGAGCCAGGTATCAACATCGTCTCCGTTTTCCGCCTTGGCAAGCAACAGGAGGACTTCTCTAAAGTCCGTCCCTTGAAGCTTGTATGGCAAAGCGATGACGAAGTCCGTCGCATTCTCAGATGAGCTCCGCTTTTTAAAGGTGAACCATTTTTCGTACTACGAGACATCTCTCCGGAGGATCGAGTAAATGAAGAAAGCGGTTGATGAACTCAGATCTCGTCGTGATAACGGTGAGACGGACCTACATCTCGTGGATTTTCGCGTACTTAGAAAAACGCCAAGAACTCGCTGGAGACCACTCCTGGTCATGCGCGGCCGTTAAAGTTGAAGAACGGACTGCACGTAATTTCTTCCCATGTGCGCAGTCCCAGAAACAAACTAGACGAAGTTCAGCTTTTTGTCTCCATGTATCGGCCGGATCTTATAGCTTTCACTGTGACCTGGTTGTCCTCGGATATCCTGGACTCGGAGGTGCAGCTCCCTGGATACCACCTTTGCCGGGCAGAGCGCCATGGAGGAAGACTTGGGGGCGGTGTGATACTCTATTGGAAGGCGGACTTCAAGGCTCATCTGGTTGAAGCTACCTGTGGCAGCGACGGGGACTTCGAAACTCTCTGGTGCCGTGTTCATGACGGATGCAGATCTCTCATGGTTGGTGTTTACAGGACTCATTGGGTTCCGGGGCTTGCCTGCTGGACGCGATCAAAATGCATGGTGGGGGCAAGGGCTGCTTATTACTGGGGGAATTCAATGCCCCGAATATCGACTGGAACCTATTGCTTTGTGTTCCCTCTTCAAACGCTTTTGATTTCGCTCTTTTAGAGATGGTTCTCGAATGTAACTTATTGCAACATGTCACAATGCCTACTCGTATAATTACAGGACAAACACCCCATATTCTTGACCTTTTACTCTCACCGGCACAATCAGATGTCACCGGCTTAACCGTTCTTCGGCCCATTGGCAAAAGGCATTACTGTGTGGTTTCATTCCTCTGGACTCGATGCCTTACTCTCCACCACCAGGGTCGCCTCCACAGAAATTTCTGGCGTGTTGATCCCCAACGCCTACCAACGGCCGCCAGTACTGTGGACTGGATCATAACCGAACCCCTGGACCTGGACGATAAGTGGAACCTTTTGTACTCCAAAATGATTTCGCTGGTTGAGCAGGTCGCTCCTGTCTACAAAAGACCTTTTGCCAGAGGTCCTCCATGGGTTGATCGAGAACTGAGGGGCCTAATAAACCAAAGGCGGAAACTATGGGTCCGATTCAAGCTCACGTACTCCGAGTCTGACTATTCGAATTATAAAGTGACCGGGAATATCTGCAACTTGAAAAAAAAACGAGAGAAACGGCATAAATACGAAATCGGTTTGGCTGTGCAATCCAAAATGACTCCCAAGACCCTTCTCTTACCTGAAGAGAACTACCAGAGCCCTGTATTCCTTGGCGCATGTCGGTTTACTTGATGATGACACTGCGAAAGCCAGTCTCCTAGTCATGCAGTATTCATCTGTTTACTCGATGGAGATGCCGTTTCCCAGTGACGCGGCGTCAATACACCCCTCTTCGTTGGAGCACGTAGAGATGAGTGCTGATGTCGTTGCCAAAGGCATACCTGACTTAGATCCGAACTCCTGATGGGTTGTATCTATAGCGCGATGATTGTGCGCTATAAATTCGGCACGAGGCTAGACGGCCAACCAAAAGCAATGGGTGGAACACACAAAAGTAAGCTATGGAAAAAGTTTATTGGACGGGAGGAGAGTTAGTTAGTACTAAAAATAGGGTACCAGAAGAGAGAGGATGCAGTTGGGCATCGAGTGCGTGGACGGAGTGAAGTTCGCAGTCGAGTCGCACGCCAAAGACGGAGATCGTGTTCGTGTTTCAAACAAACGGGAACAATGTTTCAACAGACAAACCGCCTAATTCCCTAATAGATAAGAAAGCTATAATTTTAATACACTTTAGAATAGTTTACCCAGTCATGCGGGGGAATCTCCATCTGCTGTTACTCAAGACTGTGGCCGATTACATTACCGCTCCTGTTTTCCGGGTATTTCGCTATTCACTTGAAGTTGGACGGCTCCCGATTGCTTGAAAAGTGGGGATTGTTAAACCCATACACAGAGGAGGGGATCGTCAAAATCCTGCCAATTATCGACCCATCTGCTTAACATCAATATTGTGCAAGATAATGGAGAGCATTCTCAAGCGGGCACTTCTCCACCTTGAGAACCTAAACATCATCTCTTATGCGCAGCATGGCTTTCGGCGGGCACGCTCATGTTCTTCGAATATGCTTGTGGCCCGTGAGGATTGTGCGAAATCATTAAACGCTAGGAAACGCCTGGATGTTATTTTTGTCGGCTTCAGCAAGGACTTTGACAAGCTTCCTCATGAAAGACTCCTTTATAAACTACGAGGAATCGGTGTTTCTGGGAATGTTCTCTCTTGGATCGCTGGTTTTTTGCTTGACTGGACAAAACGAGTCAACCTGAACTAGACTTACTCCGCTCCTGTGCTCATGACTAGCGGTGTCCCGCAGGGATCGGTCCTTGGCCCAGAAATTTCCCAGATCTTCATCAATGACCCCGTCGAAACTTCAGTCGAATTGCTTGCTTTGCGCTGACGATTCGAAGTTGTGGATGGAGGTATTCTGTCTTGATCATGCGGACAGATTACAGGCTACACTTGATACGTTACAGGAGTAGTCAGTCAAATGACGATTGCCCATAAATCGCGATAAGGCCTCGGTCCTCCCCATTGGTGCTCCTGAGCCTTTCGGGACGTACCACATTGCTCAGAACCTCAATGCTTGAAAAAGACCTCGCCATGTCATCTGATTTACGGACTACGCAAGACACGTTACGAAGAGTTGCTACTGCCAACAGGATGTTCCATGCCATATGAAGATCCTCTTCGCGTTTGACTCCGGATGTCATCAGACTCTTGTTTACTTCCCCCGTGCGCCCCATTCTGGAATACGGATTACCTGCCGCCTTCCCTCTCACCAAGTTCGAATGTGACCTCATTGAGAAGGTCCAACGGCGGGGATCGAAATACATCTTAGCGTTACGGGACTTGTCTTATCCCCCGAGACTTCGGCGAATGAACCTGTTCTCCCTGGATTATCGCCGACGTCGCGGTGACCTGTGTTGTCTACTTCGTTAAACGGTCGCTCCGCAAAAGAGCCCCCATCTATTGCTAAAGAAGTAAGATCCTTAAAGAAAAACCGATGGCAACTATGGGACCATTACAGGATCACAGGACTGACATCAAGCTATTTAGAGTACAAAACTGCCAGAAACCTGTGCACCCTGAGAAAACGAGACAAAAGACTACCATATGAACATTGACTGGCCATGGAATTCAAAAACCGTCCCAAAAACTTTTTGCCTACCTGAAGCGAAATGCCAAAATGGGTACTGGGTTCCCCGCTCTATCCTCTTCTAAGGAAGGTACCCTTCTCTACAGCGATGAAAAATCAAACCTACTGGCCGCGCAATATTCCTCGGTCTACTCAGTGGAATCTCCGCTGTTCAACAACTATTTGCCTGCATACTATGGACCAAGTAGAAATTAACCCCGAGGTAGTCACTAAGCTACTCCTCCTCAGGTCCAGACGGACTGCATCCCAGCTTCCTCAGAACAATAGCTGAATACGTCGCCGCCCCTCTCCAAGTATTTCGACAATACCTCGAACTCGGCTGTCTATCCACAGGCTGGAAATCAGGTACCGTCATGCCCAAATACAAGGGGGAACCAACAATACCCAGCGAACTACTGCTGTTCGTCGCTACGAGATAACCTTAACGGGGTGCGACGGTGTGCGTACCTCCTTGACCCATTGAGCTATACCAGGCGGTGGCTCCTGACCCCTTGCGAGCTACTCCTACCAGGTTCGGCAATGGGGAGAAGTCGGACAAACTGTTTCCTAGTTCTTCAGGTTGGGAGTTTGAAATGGGTTGGCGTCAATTTCTATAACACGAAGTCATTGCCACCTTCCCTCTGCCTTGCGGATAGGCTTTTGAGCCAAAGGTTTTGGATGAGGATCCTAATTGTCCTCCTGTCTAGGTCTGGGCGACCTGGCAGTATCTCAGCCCACATACAGCCATAACTTTTTTCAAGCACAAACTTCATCCTACATCGGTCGTCGCGCAGATTATCAAGGGTCGCCTTGTCTGCTGCATACAGCAGGGCGGATAAGCGAGAACATGCTACTACCGACGCCTTCCTTTTTTCTTTTCCACCTTTTTCTCTTACTCCCATCCCGACCCCCATTACTAACCCACCTTTAATTCCCAGCTTAATTGACAGCATCCGAAGTGCCACTGGAGAACCATCTGCAGCCACCTTTCCACAACACCCATCAGACACCTATCGGCAACAGCCCCTTATAAGGCCACGCTGTCCAGTTTCCGTGGCGGCGTTCAACGTTCGCACTTTAAGACAACTAGGTTCACAGGCTGCACTCTCACGCACCTTGGACACACTGGGTATTGATATGTGATGTATGTCCGATACTAAGATCAATGACCCTAATAGGGTTGTTGAATTAACTGCACCCTGCTTATCCTCTCGTTGTTGGTTGCACGCATCCGGAGACGCCGATATAGCACTCATAGGTCAATCTTGTGTGTGTATCATTCTAAGCTCCAAGGCTGAGCCATCGTTGGTTGATTGGATTCCGGTGAACAGCCGTTTATGTGCAGTCCGTCTGACGACATCAGCTAAGGTTTATTCACGAAGTAGTACAAAACGCTGCTTGTTTGTGATTTCTGTTTTTGCTCCCACCGAATGCAGTTCAAATGCAGTCAAGGACCCATTCTATCACGAACTGAATGCGCTACAACGCAATGCTGCTAGTTTAGATAGTATAGTATTTGTAGGGGATATGAATGCACAAGTAGGGCGTATGAGCTATTTAGAAGCTCAGCTGGGTGGTAATTATAGGACTAACTACGAACAAACTGACAATAGCGAGCGTCTGCTGCAAGTGGGCGCGTGGCACCAGTTGTTTCTTAGTAGCACTGCTTTTAGACACCGTGGGCGCCGAAGTGCCACTTGGCGTCCACTTGTAGCTGGCCAGCGATGGACCCAAATTGACCATATAGCCATGAATTGCAGGTGGCGTGGTTCCATCCTGGATTTCCGCTCGTACTGGAGTCCCTGCGTGGACTCTGATCATGCCTTAGCACGCTGTCGTTTCTCCATGAACTTTACCGGGAGACGCACCAAGCGTCGCCTCCGAGTTGCAACTGAGAAATTGTCTCAGCCTATCAAGACCCATTGCGTACTGAACTTTCGCTGTATTGTCCTAATAACTGAGTTCCAGTGGAATAGGATCTCTGACGCCATGCACGACGCAATAGCTTTTGCTTGTGACGTTTTCAATCGTCACCCCGCCAGTCATTGGACTTCCGAGAAGTCCATGAATCAGTTGGAATCCAGAAGAAACCTCTCGGCTGGGTCTGAGCACAATGTGACCAGACGGGCTATTAGGCGCGAACTAAAGCGGAGCCTACGTGCTGACAAGAAAGCCTGGTGGACCAGGCGGGCTCAAGCAATGGAGGAGGGAGGAGCAGTAGGCAATTACCGCAATCTCTTCCAGCTGATCCGCACCACTGCTCCTAGAAACTAGGCTTCATTGAGACAATCAGAGACAGCGCAGGTGCACTGATACAGAATAAGGAGCGCGGTGTGGCTTGCTGAGTGGAACACTTTCAAGATCAGTCCAGCTGACCCCCTGCTCCTGGACCTCTTCATACTCAGGTGATGCAGAAAGATCCGTGGCCGGTTAGTTTAGAGCCTCATCGGAGGCCGAGGTCCGAAACGCGATCACAGCCCTCAATCGTTTTCATGCCGCTGGCCCGGATTCCATCCCACATACACTATTTAAGCTTGGTCCTCTGCAAAGCACTCACCTCCCTATTCAAACGTATGTAGAAGGAAGTGTCCCGGCTAACTGGAACGAATCGATTATAGTGGCAATATACAAGAAGATCAGTCGCACAGACTGTTCTAACCACAGGGGGTATTAGCCTAACGCCAGTTGTGAAAAAGTTACTGGCATCGATTATCGTTCGTCGCCTCACTGTGGAACGGGAATCTCGGATTATGGAAGAGCAGGCCGGTTTCCACCTAGGACATGGTTGTATAGACCATATATTCACTTTGCGGTAGGTGCTAGAGCAGTGCCACGCATACCGCCGACTGACAATAGCTATGTTCCTCGATTAAAGGAGTACGTTCGATTCAGTCGATCGATGCATTCTCTTCGAAGTACTTGCGTGAAAAGGTGTTCACACGAAATATGTGGACATCCTACATACTCTATACTCGAACACTACAGGCCGCATCAGGATCTACGGTGACCTGTCGGATAGCTTTCCGACCACAAGTGACGTTCGTCTGAGTTGTCCGTTTTTCCCATTTTTGTTCAATTTCGTTGTGGATTCTATTATGGAGTGTTGCCTTGCAGAATCTCACGACATAAGGGTTAAGATCCTACCTGGTGAAAGATTAGTTGATATTGATTATGCGGACGATATCGTCTTGTTTTTCGACGATGTTAGGACGGCACAATCAACCCTGAATAACCTGTCGAGTGGTCCCATTATTTGGTATGCACTTCG